CCATCATTCATGAACCCGCACATGGTCTACTTTAGAAATGACACTGCCACTTTATTGTAACTGTATTTCTCTGACTCATGGTTATCTAACTGAAGGGAGTAGATCAATTTTTCATAATTCATAAGAGTGTGTAGAAAAATAAAAGGATTTCTTTCCCCAGTCCTTTCTAGCTTTCCCGCACAATGCCAAAAAGAAGGCTAACCGATTCAGTGACCATCCGGCTATACTTGGAATTCCCCCAAAGAAGATGGCCTTAGGAGGAAAGAACCAACAATAGTCACAGCATGATGGAAAAAAAAAAAAAAAGAAAAACAAACAAACAAAAAAAAACCAGGCCATTCTCCAAGCTTCTTTGGCCCTTTGTTGACAGGTCTGACACAGTGAAGATTCCTGTTATCCCAATGAAAGCAATTGCTTTGCTCCCATAGAGTCCTTGTTCCTTATTAGAGACATCTCTTATTGTTCCCAGGGACTAGGATAATGACCTATGTAATGGCCTTAGCAATTCTAACCTTTCAAGGTAAGAGAGGTAGCAAAGGTGTGCCCAAGAACATGGACAGATGAAGAGGGGCAGTGCGTCCCTGTGCTTCCTTTAGAGATCTCTGTCATCACGTTGCTGTGTGGACAGAAGACCCTGACAAAAACTTCAGTGTCATTTCCTCTCTTTTTAGCCAAGACCCTTTTTGGAAGGGCTTGGATGGGGATGGAAGGAGGGCACCCACTCTGTGGTCAAGAATTGGCATCTTAGCAAAGACAGACTCACAGTGGGTGGATTAATCTAAATGGGGCAGAGGAATCATGTCAATTCCACCCACAATCACTCTGTATGTCCACTTTCCTCCCTTAGCTGCCTGAGGTCGCTATACAAATAGCTCTCTGACACCTGCTCAGAGACCCACGTCTTCTCCCTGCGGAAGGCAGTCACTTTTGTTTCCACTGAAGCATTTTAGTCACATGCATTTAGATTACAGAAGGGGTCACTTGCATAGTTAATAAAGTTTTTTTTTTTTTTAAACTGGAGAACATGATTTTTGAGAAATAGGAGGGGCATTAACTGTCAAAGATATGTAGTTATGTGTGTGGGTATGCATATTTGTACCTATGGTTTCGATCCTATCCAGAATCTACATTATAAAAGTAAAAGCTTAAACAGTGCCGAAGACTATGAAGTTTCTATTAGTGCACATATTTTGGAAGAGTACACGTTCATGCATGTAGTATGTGTGTGTGTGTGTGCGCGCGCGCGTGAACACAGAGGTTATCAGTGTACAAATAGCCAGAAACTGTTTTTAAGTGAGGCGTTTAAACTTGAAACATGTTTCCCTACAAAAGAGATTATGAAAAGTAGATTCCCTGGCTTCCCACATCCAAAGATGAATAAGCCTATGAGACTATTACAGATTTACCAAAAATTTTTTAAAAATAATAATGTCGGCTTACCTTTTCTTTGTAACTTCATAAAGTATATTTGGAGGCATTGATTCACTTCTTGGAGGTCCTTGGGTTCCTCTTTCCTTTCTTGCAGTGTTTCTGAACAATTGAACATCCCTTACTCTCTCCCTAGTAAAAACAAGGTTTTCTCCAACTTAGCTCCTCATACAGCTGTTAGGTAATAAATGAAAGAAAACCCACCATTGAAGTCTAAGGGAAGTGTTAAAGTTTGATGGGCACCTTTTCATGTGTTTGCATAAAACATACTCATAGGTATGTGCAATTTTGTGTATATTCGTACAGAATTACACATGTATGTATTGGGAGGGTTAGATAGGTGTACATCAGGCAGTATGACTGTAATCTGTAAATGTTTAAGAATAACCATTCTTAAGTAAAACTGGTATATTTTCATTTGAAATCCTTTAGTGGGCAAAAATTTCTTAAGAATTATTGACTTGGAAATATTTCTATGCAATCTATTCCAACTATCTAGTTCAAATTTATTTACTTTTCTTTGCTTTCTCATTACTAAATAGTACAGTTTAGTATTGGATACCTGATTCATGGAAACATATAGGGGTAGGGAGCTTCTTAATTCTAATTTTGTAAAGAGTTGTTTTGGATCTTTGCCAGAGTCTCCCGGTTCTAGAACTACTAGTTTTATATTCTGAATCATTTGTTTGGTGGGCTTTCTTGTTAACTCATCTCTGGCTCCCGTCCAAAAATAAAGTGAGTTTAGGTCCATTTCGCTGTGTCTATCTTCCAGTGTGTCAATTTAGTTTTCAAATGTTGCTGGGTGAGCCTACCTTTAAGAACTGGGTTGCCAATAGATAGACACAACAGAAAGATACAATTACTCAACTAAGAATGCTGGAGACATCTCTGAGCAGTTATGGAGATAAAGATGTCTGGAAAGTTTATTGCCTTTAATTTGCACAGCTTTCCGCCCCCACCCTCCTCCCCTGCCTCCCATCTGTAGGTGTTGGATCTTTAAGGGAGCTTGACATTTAGCTTTGAAATGAATACACTTTTTTGGTTCTTAACAACCAGGGTAAGTTTTCATAGGTAATTTAGCAAATGTCAAACTTTTCTAATAATGTAGATTTGATTTATATAGCCAAGCGTGCTATTCTCATTACCCAGACATCTCAGAACTTGGGTGACTTTCAAGCCAAGGCAGCCCCCATCACCATTCACACTCACACACACCCCACTCACTTTTCTTTTTTCTTTTTCTTTTTTTTTTTTTTTTTCCGCCTGCCTCGGCCTCCCAAAGTGCTGGGATTACAGGTGTGAGCCACACCGCGCCCCCACTCACTTTTCCTTCTTCGCATTTCTGTTTCTCGGTCATGTACTCTGCATTTTCTCTACCTCCACCGGTTAGCATACCAGTGGGTGCAAATACCAACTGTTTCTTTTTCTTTCTGCTTTCTCCTGATCACAAACAATAGTCACTTCTCTAATAACACATTTTCCTATTTTTCAATATATAAAGTGGGCTATTAAGTTTGTAACCCGGCAATCAGGAAATATTTG